GGAAAGAGCTGCGGCAACACACCAACCCTCTGCACGAGGCCAAAACGACGACGTCTTCCGGGAGAAAATCGAGCACGCTGTGGTGCACCCCACGTGTCGCCAATGGGATGTAACTAACGGTCCTGATGTCGTCACTGCACCACACGAACCTCTCCTGGAAAACGAACCCCGTCAGCGCCGCCACCTCGCCGCCGCTGGCTCTTCCCACGTGAACCTTCGCGAAGGAGCGACTCGAAATCACGCGCCGCCACTCCCGGCACACGCGCTTCAGACTCACCAGCTCCTTCGCCGGAATGCGCGACAGAATTTCGATCAGAACGTCGCCGTTTAGAAGCGTTTCAACCTTCTTCATCTCCTATGAATAATAACAACAACAACGACAAAACAATCGATTGCTACTACTAGCAAAAGCAATGCAGATTCCACGGAACAAAACGACGACGTCTTTACATAATGAGATGAAGACTTACTTTGGATGGCAATGAGAATGTTGACATAAGAGGAAAAACAGAGGTTGAACTTGTGAGTGAAATAAGGGATGGAAAACCAAGAGTCGTTTTAATTTTTAATTGTTTTGGTTCATGAAATAGAGTTTCTCTAACTAACTGTGCAGTGCATTGCAAAAAGGTAAGAAAAGAGAGTGAGTGGGGAGCTTACACGTTTTTGCAGATTTGTTGTTTGAGGGATACAGAGATATGGAATACAGAAAGGTGGCCAATGGGGTTAGTTATTTAATGAGTAATGATTAACATTCTCTAATTAATGTGCTTAATTATGAAATAAATATAATTATTAATATGGTTTATAATAGTATTAACTAACTGTGAGATAGAGTTACTATTAAAAAATATTGTAATAATAATACTTCTTATGAGATAAAATTAATCATTATTGTTATTTTAATAATTTTATAACACTATTGATCATAAATGAACAATTTTTCATATTTTATTAATTATTTATGAAATAAAATTAATTATGTTTATACATGTATTAATCATATATAACAATTAATAATTTTTGTGATATTATTAATTAATTACTTGTGAAATAAAATTAATTATAATTAGATATTTTAATAATTTTTTATATTATTAATCACATATTGATATTCGTATATAATATATGTTTACTTATTTTAAACCGGAGAAATAATAATATTTATTCAGAAAAAAAGTAATCATATTTAGGTGATGGAGAAATTGTATATGTATTTGCCATACTCTCTTTCCTTATTTAATGAGGAGTGTTACAACTTCCAAAAAATATCTGAAACATCATCCGAACCATCGGCCGAAAATTTAAAATATTAATTTTTTAATAATTTTATTATTAAATAATTATTTAATTTAATATTTTATAATTTAAATTAATTTTTTAAAGATTCGGAATGCATTTCGGATTTTCGGAGATTGTAGAATTTTTCTTATTTAATTGCATCATACCGTATAATATTAGCGGTCTAAAGAAATTTGCTAGAATTAATAGCAAATTATGAACACAATAAGGTAAAAGAAAAAACACATATAGGTAGGTAACAAAGAATACAATCCGAGACCAAAATATGAGATAAAATTCAACATAAAACTAGGTTAAACATGCTATTCAAGGAGTGTGTGTTCCTTTCCTCCTAAAAGACTAAAATACCCTTTGACATAAGAATAGAAAAAGGTGGACTTTGACCTCAAAAGTCAAGGTTTAAGTCCAAAAATAAATCCTAATATAATTTTCCCCATAATACAAAGGCTAAATGAAAAATACAAAAGAAATCCTACCATCTAGGGTACCCCAAAATACAAGGGTAAAAAGGGGAAATAAAAGCAATAAATCTTATACTACTAATGATAAACTTAGGAGAGGATCAATACTCTACACACATGATGAACATAGCTCTAGGCATGATGTCTCCTCTATCCTTCTCTATTCTTCTAACCATGGACCTAGTAATGGGTCTCACATGAAACTCCAAGGGTGATCTTCCATCAATGATGGTTATGGTACTGGTGGCATTGTCACCACCACCGTCATTCCACCATTGTTGTTATTGTCACCATCACCACTGACAATGATAGTGGTGGTGGTGGCGATGCTACCAACATTATCACTATGTTACTGCCACCACCATTGTCACATGGCGATGACAATGGAGATAGTGACAATGATAGTAAGGATAGTGATGGTGATTGCAATGCTAATATTGATATTTGTTAAAGGGATAATAATAAAGACAAAACTTAGATATAGTGTCTTAGGTGTAATTGATTTTGTTCTCCAATTAGAGTTGGAGTTTTACCTCGATATTATGTACTTTCATTTAATGCACATCTCACTAATATACATTTACACATACTATCGAAGTAAAACTTCAAATTTTGATTAGAGAACAACATGGACTACACCTAAGGAATTGTACCTATGTTTTGTCCTTAATGATAAAACCATTAAAAACTCATCTTATTTCCAACCTCACCTCAATCGTTGAGCTAATTTGGTTGGATAATTGGATTCCGAGTTTGAGAGTACAAAATCCCCTCAGTTTGAACTTAAGAAGCATTTTTTTAATTATGTTATTAATACGTAATATTTAATAAAAAAAATTTGATTGACCATCTTTAATAAAAAAAAAAATATTTAAACTATATTCTTTTTATATACAAAATTTGAATCTAGAACCTTAATTTAAAAGATTTAATTAACTATGATTTAAATTAACAATTAGGTGGTAAGAAGCGTATAGACACTATTACATTTTAATTCTTAAGCAACATTTTCTTTCTTACATTTTTTAAAATGTTACTATATATTGAATAAATAGGTTATTTTGCAACATTTTTTTTAAAAAAATGTCATTATACATAAAATAAAATTTTTTATTTCAATATTATTCTTTTCAATTGTTTTCAAAATCAAAGTCTCATATCGAATAAAAAAATATTATATAGGTTTTTTTGCAACATTTTTTTTGAAAAATATTATTATAATTGCTTCTAAAATCAAAGTCCCAAATCGAATAAAAAAAATTTCTCATATCTAATTGTTACCTATAATTAAAGTCTCACATCGAATAAATGAATGACTCATAAAGAGTATATATAATCATATAATTATATACTTAAGATAAATAAACTTTGATATTTGATATATAATTAGTAGTAACTAATTGAGAATGTCTATAATTTTCTCTTAAAGAATTCTTAAGAGTTTATGAAACATAAAAATATAATAATTGATAGTAATATCTAAATTAAAATTAATTATCATTCCTATATAATATTTTTTTATTCGATATGAGACTTTGATTTTGAAAACAATTGAAAAGAATAATATTGAAATAAAAAATTTTATTTTATGTATAATGACATTTTTTTAAAAAAAATGTTGCAAAATAACCTATTTATTCAATATATAGTAACATTTTAAAAAATGTAAGAAAGAAAATGTTGCTTAAGAATTAAAATGTAATAGTGTCTATACGCTTCTTACCACCTAATTGTTAATTTAAATCATAGTTAATTAAATCTTTTAAATTAAGGTTCTAGATTCAAATTTTGTATATAAAAAGAATATAGTTTAAATATTTTTTTTTTTATTAAAGATGGTCAATCAAATTTTTTTTATTAAATATTACGTATTAATAACATAATTAAAAAAATGCTTCTTAAGTTCAAACTGAGGGGATTTTGTACTCTCAAACTCGGAATCCAATTATCCAACCAAATTAGCTCAACGATTGAGGTGAGGTTGGAAATAAGATGAGTTTTTAATGGTTTTATCATTAAGGACAAAACATAGGTACAATTCCTTAGGTGTAGTCCATGTTGTTCTCTAATCAAAATTTGAAGTTTTACTTCGATAGTATGTGTAAATGTATATTAGTGAGATGTGCATTAAATGAAAGTACATAATATCGAGGTAAAACTCCAACTCTAATTGGAGAACAAAATCAATTACACCTAAGACACTATATCTAAGTTTTGTCTTTATTATTATCCCTTTAACAAATATCAATATTAGCATTGCAATCACCATCACTATCCTTACTATCATTGTCACTATCTCCATTGTCATCGCCATGTGACAATGGTGGTGGCAGTAACATAGTGATAATGTTGGTAGCATCGCCACCACCACCACTATCATTGTCAGTGGTGCTAAATTTTAACCTAGTTAGTGACTAAGGATAGGATTTTGAGGCACAAAAGGTTCACTCAATATCATAATAATCCAAAGTGTATACATGGTTGGAGGCCTAGGGTATATATAGATGGAAGGAAGGCATCTAGGGTTATATTTAGGAGTGCATGGTCGAGTAATGCAAGCCAAATGCACTCAATTACACCCTAAATGTGGTGTGGGTTCCTTTCCTCCTAAAAGACTAAAATACCCTTTGACATAAGAATAGAAAAAGGTGGACTTTGACCTCAAAAGTCAAGGTTTAAGTCCAAAAATAAATCCTAATATAATTTTCCCCATAATACAAAGGCTAAATGAAAAATACAAAAGAAATCCTACCATCTAGGGATCATTAAAACTTCTCTAAGATGTCCTAAATGATCATCTTGAGACCTACTATAGATTAAGATGTCATCAAAATAAACAACAACAAATTTACCTATACACTCTCTCAA